GGTGCACGGGGGCCGTGTTCGCAGCCTCCTGCCTCTGGCTCTGAGGCGCGGCAAAGTCAAGGAGAAGGTGGACAGAGCCGTCGAGGGTGCCCGTCGAGCCGTGAGTGCTGCCCGCCAGCGCCAGGAGATTGCTGCTGCCAGGTGGGCTAGGAGGAGAGGGTGCCGTAGATACAGGGGAAGGAGAGGGAGGGGTGCCTAAGAGGAGATCAAAACCCAAGGCATAGGACCTGGTGGGGAAGAGCAGGCCCAAAGCCAGGCAGTTGTAGCCCCAGGACTTGGGCTGTTTATATCTGAGGCTACAGGTGGATGTGGGTGTAACTGTGGGTGGCTGGGTATTTGCAGGAAGTGGTGTAAGACTGTCTCCGTGTCTTTTGTGTGGAGATGTGTGTCTATTGAATCCATCGTTGTGTGTGGGAGTAGCAATGAGCCTTCTTTGTCCCTGCTCAGAAACCTCTTGAAACTGACAGAGGTCCCTGGTCTTCCTCTTGTGGCCCATCCAGCCTCTGGCCTCAGGCCGGAAGCAGAACCGGGAGTGGTCCCTTCCTAACTGTGCCCCAGCCTGGCATCATTTCAGCCTTGGACCTTGGGGAGGTTTAATTTATGCAGCCTGTCTACCCTCCTGAAAAAACTAGTCTCCCCCCATCTTTGCTTCCCTGACTCTTTGACCCAAATGGTAAGGGCAATGGTAAGGGAGAGGAGATTTAACCTATAAATGAAAATTTCTTTCTGTAAATCAGATTACATTTCCATGGATCAGGAACTCTGCTATCTAAAGCAGAGCTTCCAAATAATAATATAATGTAAGCCAAATATGTCCTTATAAATCTTTTATTGGCCACATTAAAAATAAAAAGAAATGGATGAAAATATTTTAATAAGACATTTGTATTAAACCAGTATACCCAAAATATATTTCAGTTCATAATCAATATAGTTACTGAGATCATACATTTCTTTGGACAACATCTTTGAAATCTAGTGTGTAATATATACTTACAACCCATCATTTTCATTCAGACTAGTCATATTCCAAGTGCTTAATAGCCACCTATGGCTTATGACTCCTGAATTAGATACCACAGATATAAAGAAAACCAAAATTTCATTAATAATTGGATTTCCAGGCCCCTGATATATAAAGCTCACACATCTAAGTGTTTATATATTAAATTTTTTAAAAAGAGATAAGAGCATAGTTAAGAGATCTTATTAACATCTGAGACTGTTTGAGAGAGCTAGAGATCAGGATATGTCCACATATAATTCAGTAAATTTGTATAATGGGTGACAGGGTGCGTGTGTGTGTGTGTGTGTGTGTGTGTGTGTGTGTGCGTGTTTATGCCTGAGTATAAACATGTCAAATCCAGAGTAATGCCTGTGCCAGAGAATATACATCTGTAGATATATCTGAATGTCTGGCTGTTAGGATCCAAGGCTTTAAGCCAAGAAAGAAGGAGGGCAGAGCAATAGGGAACATTTTGGGCTAGATAAAGTGGAGGCATGTGCAGAAAAAAACTGATCTCACTAACTAGAGGATCAGGCTGTGGGAAGAGGCTGGTTGGACTCCCCAGCAACAGGCCTAGCAACTCTGATTGGCTGCTGGGTGCCATGGAAACAGCACAGCCTCAGCAGCAGGTGCCTCTGCCAGGTAGCCTGAGCTTGGCCTTGATGCCTGAGCATAGATTAAGTCTACTTTGTCCATATCCTCCAGACAAAAATACAGGCCCTCATCATGTCATGGTTGTCAAGAGAATTCAATGAAACCCAAGACTGTGATTTTATACCCTGCCCCAGACCCCAAGATCAGCTCAGTTTCAGGACAGGGTTAGTCATAGGCAGTCCAAACACCTTAAGATAGAAAAGAACAGGATTATTTGAAGTCTTCCCATAAATAGGAGTTGAACCTAAGACTAACAACAGAGAAGGAAAGGGAAGAAAAACTTGAGGAAGCATCTTACATCAGGAAAACTGAGAAACAACAATGGAGCAAGGATTGATAATGCTTGGAGTGACCTGTACCCAGGGAGCAGGACAAGATGGAACAGGGTGTGGAAGGGAGACTGAGAGCTTAACCAGAAAGTATAATTGCAATCTTGAGAAAATATTGGCAGAGAGAAGAGGATGTGGTTGTAGCATGAAGGAGAGAGCTACCCTTATTCCAGTTCTCAGGCTCAGAAAAGCATGAGGCAAGGCAGGAGAACAGTGGCAGAGACAGAGTGGGAGAACAGTGTGATAACAGAAGCGGCCAAAGAAAAGCAAAATGGGACATTCTCATGCCAGGAAAACTGCCCTGGAAAAGGTAGAATTAAATAATAAGGAAGGCTAGCAGTGGCAAGCGGGGGCAGGAACAAGGCGCAGGGGAGAGATGGAACTGTAAGGGAGGCAAGATCATGGTAGAGGACAGTGCCCTGGACACCACAGGGAGGCATGTGACCCCAGTAGGTATGAGGGATTGGCAACAACAGGGCAAAGAGGGCAATCAGCAGAGCTTGTCAGAGTCAAGCTGAACTGTAGAGGATATGCTGGGGGAAAACTCAGTTGTCACTGGGCAGGGAACAGGACAGTTATGGAATAACAGAGTATGGAGAGGGCCTGGCCCCTGCCACTGGAAGAAGGAACTGTTACTACAGGACACAAGGGTAGAGGGTATGAGAGGAGCATGAGGGTGTGATGACAGCAAACAGCCCATCCGGGAGAAGAAATGAAAGTGAGCTTCGCTGGCCTGCCCAGGAAGGGGTGAGGCTCCAGCAGTGAACTCAGATAAGCCCAGGAGGATGTGATATGGTAGGGACATGGATGAGGGGCTGCAGTGTCTGAGCAGTTGAAGCGGCAGGAGGTCCACTAAGTCCCTATCCCCTGGAACCTAACAGGGCAGCCGACGCCCTCCTAAAGGCAGTGGCAGCCAGCAGCATCGCTGAGAAGGCTGTGGAGGCAGCACGGATGGCCAAACTGATCGCCGAGGACCTACAGCCCATGCTGGAGGCTCCAGGTGAGGTGTGAGCAGCCTGGGGAATGGACGAGCCCCTGGAGGGCCAGAGGCTCGGGTGACTGAAAAGGGGATGACAAGCACCACAGGAAATCTGGGGATAGGAAAAACCAAGGTACAGGGTCCAAGATGATAGAGGATGGGGGTCAAACCCAATTGTCTGAGGAGCGGGACTGAGAATTATGAAGCAGGATAATGGGGTTTCAGGTCTGGTGTAGAGAAGCTAGGAACCCGGGGAAGTGCCTTGGGAGCTGCAAGCTCTCTGGCCAGCGGCCAGGCAAGCCCCACTGATGCTCAGCTGTCCCTGCCCAGGCCACAGACCCAGGCAGGACTCAGAAGGTTCCGACACAGAGCCCTTGGATGAGGACAGCCCTGGGGTGTACGAGAATGGACTGACCCCCTCAGAGGGCTCCCCCGAACTGCCCAGCAGTCCTGCCTCCTCCCGCCAACCCTGGCGACCCCCTGCCTGCCGGAACCCACTGCCGCCTGGAGGGGACTGGGGCCCCTTCTCCAGCCCCAAAGCTTGGCCTGAGGAGTGGGGGGGCCCCGGTGAGCAGTCAGAGGAACTAGCTGGCTATGAGGCTGAGGACGAGGCTGGGATGCAGGGACCAGGGCCCAGAGATGGTTCCTCACTCCTTGGAGGCTGCAGCGACAGTTCGGGAAGTCTTCGAGAGGAGGAGGGGGAAGACGAAGAGCCCTTGCCCCGGCTGAGGGCTTCAGGGGGCTCAGAGCCTGAGCCTGTGGCCACGCCGGTCCTGAGGGGCGTGTCCCCAAGGGGTCTGGATGCTGGGTGCCTGATGGAAGAGTCCGAGGAGCCTGCTGCAACAGAGAGGCCTGCCCAGCCGGTGAGACATCCCCTGTCCCCACTTTCAAAGCCCGGCCTCCCACCCTTTCCAGACCTCTGTCTGATCCCCAAGGGGCTTGATTTCAACTAGGCTCCCTCTCTGCTGACTTGTCTTGGACCGTATCCCACTTCCAAAAAAAAAAAAAAAAAATAGACAATTTGAAAGGAACCTTAGAGACCTGCAAGTCCAGCTCCCTCATTTGACAGATGGGGGAACTGAGGCCCACAACAGTTAAAGTAACTTCCCCACAGTTACAAACTAATAATTAATGATAGAACCAGAACATATTTTCCTGTTCTCCTTCCATATCATTTCCAGCTCCCAGTTTCCTACTCCACCTCCACCCCCACCTCCGCACTTTCTCTCTTTGGTGCCCAGAAATAAAAAAGGAAAAAATTGTTCCCTCCCTACCCTCACTCTCCCTCCCTCTCCTGGGAAGAAGGAAAATAGGAAAAAAGGCAGAAGACCAGAAGAGGCGGAGTTTACTCAAAACCCTCTGCTCTGATTGGATTCCAGACCATCTCCTGTTTCCTAGCAACCACATCCTCACCCCCTTCATCCCTCTGCCTTACTGCAGTACTGGCTGCTGCTGCCAGAGTCTTCTACTAAGGCCAGGCACCTTCTGCCTGGGCCCCAGGATATGCTGGTGGGAGGGGAGGGGAGGGAGGAGGGAGCAAAGGCTGGCCCCGTCTTGAGAGTTTCAGAGCAAAGGTGGAGCTCCACCCAGGAGAAGGAGTTGTTTCGCAACACAAAACAAAGGTTGGAGATTCATCTCATCTCTGCAGGGAGGTGTCTGGGACCCTTCAGCTTTGCCACTGAAGCCAGGGAGTGAAGGCAGGACCTAGCACTGGATTCGGGCTTCAGGGACTGAGGCTGCTTTCCCCCTCTGTCTCTCTAGGGAGCTGCCAACCCGCTGGTGGTGGGAGCTGTGGCCCTCCTCGACCTCAGCCTGGCATTCCTGTTCTCCCAGCTCCTCACCTGAGGCTACTTCCTGGCCTAGTTCTGGCTTTGGTTGCCTGCCTCTTCACCCCTTTGACCTGCCTTTTTTCTCTTTTCCTCCTCCTGGTTGTTTTTTCTCCTATCTTTTCTTTCTCTTCTGTCCCCCTTTGTTTTTGTCTCTTGCTTTTGCCTTCCTTCTCTTCTTTCAGATTCTCTCATTTATCCCAGACCTGTCTCTTTCTCCCCCACCCTCTTCTTCTCTAGATTGTTTACATATGAAGGGCTTTTCTCTCTCAGATGCTCTCGTTTCTGAGACACACAAATCTAAGTCAGACCATTGCCCCATGCCCTCCCGCCTTTTCTTTAAACCTAAACTTCTCGAGGGTGGGGATTTAGTGTCCTGAGGAGTCTTCTGGAAGCTGAACGGAGAGGAGAATAACAGAGACAGAGTGACTGAATGCTGGACAAGCTGCTGGCAGAGCCCCTGTGGCTTCCTGGCCCAAATGAAAAGGCTGGAGGACATGTGGCCTCCACCTCTCACCCTGGAGAAGATTACCTCACCTCCCAGCACCCAGCTAGGTTCTTGCCTAACTTGATCCTTCCTGGAGGAAGCTAAAAGAACAATGGAACAACGTCCTAGAATCTCCCTCTTCCTTTCCCCTAGTCAGCCAGCCCCTCTTCCAACCATGTTTACACCATGCCAAGAGCAACGTGTAAAGGAACAAAAAATATCCAATGCAGTCAGGCCCACCCTCAGGCTTTGCCACTGATCTCTCTGCCCTTCTGTGGCCCTTAAAATTTTATTCGGTTGGTCTGGACTCACTTGTGGCCTTTGATTAAATTCCTACAGGGGCCTGAAGAAGACACTTCTACTCCAGAGGGTTAGAGGCATTTGAGCCAGGACTCTGCTCCCCAACTCTGGCATTTGTAGTGGGGAGGCCTTTCTGAGAGGATAGAACCAGGCAAGCTAACAGGAGCTCACCGAGCAGCAGAAGTGACAAGTCTGGTAGTCTCCAAAGGGTTCTGTCCCTTCCCCCATCACTTCAGAATCTTGTGGAATGGGATCAAAGAAAGCCCCTATCTCCCACACTCCCCAGGAAGGGTAAAGGTGGAAGTCAGACCTAGGGTGAGAGGTGGTTGGAGAGCCCTGTGGGAGGTTGCTGGCTGATCCTTGGTAGTAGCTTTTCCCCTGGAGGCAGGAAGCCCTAGAAAGGGGATTGTAGGGCCCCCAGGGGATCTTTTCTCCCTCCCTTGCATGTGGCAGAACCGAACTGCCTGCCAACCCCCTCCCTCAAGGAATGGCCTTGCCCGGGAATGCCCACCACACACACCCTCTTTTTTTCTAGTCAAACTGTTCACTCCTGGCCTGCCTCCCTCCTTCCTCCCCTTTCAACCTTTACTTCTGATTTCTATTTCATGGAATTTGGGATTGAAGTTATACAACAGTGCCGCCAACACCAAGTCTTGCAGGAAAAAAAAAAAATACAAAGAAATTTAACAAAAAAATATATTAATAAAAAAGTTGAAAAAAGGGGGGACTGTCATCTCCTTTGGGGTGCAGTGTCGTCCAACCCAAGCTCTCTGAGGCTTTGATGACCATGAGAATGTAAAAAGCAGATTCATCTTAACGGCTCCGCGCCCCTACACCGTACCACAGCTCCACACCCTAAAGCGGCCCGAGGTCGGCAGGCTCACTAGGGCGGGTCCCGTGGTGGAGGCGGGGAGAGGGAAGGACCAGATCAAGCGCCAGCGCCTACTGGGCCCTGCACCAGGAAGCGCTGGAGGTTAGAGAAGCACAATTCAAACAGGAGACAGGTGAGACTCGGCATTCTGGGGCGGGAAAACCGAAGCAGCCAGAGGTGGGAATGGTGGAAAGGAATCTCGCGAAAGCAACAGCGCAGGGCCCTGGAAGCGAAGAGAAGGCTGAGCTCCTGATGCGATTCCAGGTGGGGGAAGGAGGGGGTAGTAGGCGGGGCTGGGCCTCCCGCTCCGAAGGAACAGGCGTGGAGTGGGGACGCATGCGTATTGGGATCCCTTTGGGAGGTGGGATTTGGAGACCGGGGGTGGGGGGCAAAGGTAAATGTCGGCTCAATTACAGGGTATCTGTGGCCCCCGGGCCCTTACGATCTTGGCACGGGGCAAGACTGAGCACCGGCCAGAAAATGTTAAAGCCCTGTCCACTCCTGGGCTCTGCCCACCCCCACCCCCCAGAACGATGGTGTCTTCGCTGAAGCTTCACGACCTCATCGAGGAGATTCGCGGGGCCAAGACTCAGGCCCAGGAACGGGAGGTGATCCAAAAGGAGTGCGCCCATATCCGGGCGTCCTTCCGTGATGGGGACCCCTTGCAGAGGCACCGCCAGCTGGCCAAACTGCTCTACGTCCACATGTTGGGCTACCCCGCCCACTTTGGACAGGTAATGGCCAGGGATGCCCTCTGCCGGCGTTTGAGGAGGAAGTCCAACATGGCAGGGTTGTGGACCCGCTCACGTATTTGTGCCCCATTTTTTCATTTTCTGTTTCCTGAGCCCTCACACCACGCACTGAAAATCCTCTTTCCCCACGGCGATCCCCACCCTGTGTCAGCCGGCCTAAACCCTCCATTCTCTGCTTCTCCTTTCCCCTCCCATCCTCCTCTGTGCCGGGTCCTTGAAACTGCCCACCATCCTGGATCTCTTCAGCCTCTCCTCCAGCTGAAGAGGAGCAGTGACACATGACGCCCACATGTGGTGTTACAGAAGGCAGAGCAGAGCTGTGTCTTCACCCTGTCTTCCTGGTCTGCCCCCTTCTCTGCAGATGGAGTGCCTGAAACTAATCGCCTCCCCCCGATTCATAGACAAGAGGGTGGGCTACCTGGGAGCTATGCTTCTGTTGGATGAGAGGCATGATGCCCACCTGCTCATTACCAACAGCATCAAGAAGTGAGAGGGCTCTGAGGGCACTGGAAATCAGGGAAATGGGAGAGTGGGAAACAGAAATCCCAAAGGGCTGCCTGCTGTACTAGTGAGATGGACTGGTTTTCTCAGAGGTTTGACTGAACAACCTCCCAACCCTGCAGTGACCTGAGCCAGGGGATTCAGCCAGTTCAAGGCTTGGCTCTGTGCACTCTGGGCACCATGGGCTCTGCTGAGATGTGCCGGGACCTGGCCACAGAGGTGGAGAAGCTGCTCCTGCAGCCAGGCTCCTATGTACGCAAAAAGGTGAGATGCAGAACTGGCCCCTCCAGAAACTCTCCCTGGTCTGCCATGCAGAAGGGAGGCGGGGGGCATCCTGGTGGTGCCCTGCCCTGTCTGAGGCCCCTGACCTCTGCAGGCTATTCTGACTGCAGTGCACATGGTCCGGAAAGTCCCTGAGCTCTCTGATATCTTCCTTCCACCTTGTGCCAAACTGCTTCGAGAGCACCACCATGGTAAGGCCACTGGGCTCCCCATTCTCTGCTTCAGGCCTGGCTATAGACAGAAGTAAAAAGCAGGACAGGAGCACCAGTTCTTAGGACAAAGGGTCGCATACACACATCAATGTGCATGTGCGGCAGACCCTCCTGTGCCCTGGCCCACCATTCGCTTCCCCTCCCTGACCCCAGGCATCCTGCTGGGCACCATCACCCTGATCATGGAGCTCTGTGAAAGAAGCCCTGCTGCCCTCAGGCACTTTCGAAAGGTGGGCTGGTGAAAGAGGGTCAGTGGTGGAGGAATGGGGCATGCGTTGAAAGGATGAAGAGAAAAGCCCAGACAAAGCTGTGCCCTCCCTCCAGGTGGTACCCAAACTGGTGCACATCCTCCGAACTCTGGTGACAACGGGGTACTCCACAGAGCACAGCATATCTGGAGTCAGTGACCCTTTTCTGCAGGTGGGGTAACCTCCCCCTGTTGTGTCCCTGGAAGAGAGAAGGCTTAGCAATAAGATCATGGCTAGTGGTCACCTAGAGGACACTTTGGCTCAGTGTCCTGGGCAGGAGGGTGGCAAGCTCAGGATTGTCCTGGTCATCCCAGGACCAGTTAGAGGAGAGGGGATGCTTGAAGTTCAGGAAATCGAGATTATAAAAATAAGTTTGTTCTAATCTCCCCTGATCTCACACACAAAGGACCTGTGGCAATGAGGGAGGGGGTGGGAGGCTCTAAAAGACTAGCCGAATCCCTCACAGTACTATCTTCAATGCTGGATTTTTCTCCTCTGGCCCACAACTCCCATTAACTCCTATTACCCATTAACCCGACCTTAGGTCCAGATACTTCGTCTGCTTCGGATCCTGGGCCGGAACCACGAGGAAAGTAGCGAGACCATGAATGACTTGCTGGCCCAGGTGGGGCTTGAAGGGGATCACTGCTTAGGTCCCCTATGCAGGGAAGCTGGGACCCACCAGCCCAGGGTATCCCTCACATGAACCCTTACCATGCAGCAGCCGCATCAGCACCCTCCATCTTCTCTACCCAGTGAAATCCATGCAGGAGGGACACAAGGCTGTTACCGTGCTATTGCCCCTCATCCAGGATGGCCTTGGCACATAATAGGGTTTGGGGAACTTTGTTGGATGGTTGGAATGAACAGAAAAAATGAAACACAGGGCAGAAGCACCAGCATCCTGGGATGGAGAATAAGCCCTGTGTACATGCATCTCCCCCACCCACCTAGGTGGCCACCAACACAGACACCAGCCGGAACGCTGGCAGTGCAGTCCTGTTCGAGACAGTGCTCACCATCATGGACATCTGCTCTGCAGCTGGCCTACGGGTATTGTCCCATATACTCCTCCACTAGGCCCTGCCTGCCACCCGCCTCAGCCAGGCACACACAGGCCCTATTCACTAGGTTCTCCCCTGCACTTGTCACACTATGCCATGTGGTCCCTACTCCTGAGTGAATAAGTTGTGTCTTCTGTGACTGTCCCAGCCCTCTGTCTCCCATAGGTTCTAGCTGTCAACATTCTCGGCCGCTTCCTGCTTAACAGTGATAAGAACATCAGGTAAGAGTCCTTGATTCTTGCTAAGCTGGCCTTCTGCACTCCTCCCTCCAGAACCTCCCAATCCACCTACCTCTCGCTTTATACCCAGGGCAGATCGTCAGGGCTGTTGGCCACGGCACAACAGAGTCTTTTCCACCCTGGGCAGGTACGTGGCCCTGACGTCGTTGCTGAGGCTGGTACAGTCTGATCACAGTGCTGTGCAGCGACATCGGCCCACTGTGGTGGAATGTCTGCAGGAAAGTGATGCCTCCCTCAGCCGGTAAGCAGAGACAGAGGGGACAAGAGGACAGAGGACCCAGTGTCTGGTGGCCAAGACCCAAACCAGCTCAGAGCAGCAAGAATGAGAAGACTAAGGGGACAGGTGCTTGGGGTGCAGCAGGGTGACCTGAGATACCTTTCTCTTCCCAGGCAGGCCTTGGAGCTGAGCCTGGCTCTGGTGAACAACTCCAATGTGCGAGCCATGACACAGGAGCTGCAGGCCTTTCTTGAGTCCTGCCCCCCAGATCTGCGGTCTGACTGTGCTTCAGGCATCCTGCTGGCTGCAGAGAGGTGAGGTGACAGATGCCAGGAGGCAAAGAGGGCGCAGCCTGGGAAGGGATAGTGCCAGGACTGATGAGCTATGTCCCCTAGGTTCGCTCCAACCAGGCGGTGGCATATAGACACCATCCTGCATGTGCTGACAACGGTGAGATGGGCTAGTTAGAGCTGGGCGGTGTGTGCAGAGCTCACCAGTGACAGGCTCTCCTCCCTGCACCAGGCAGGTACCTATGTGCGGGATGACGCCGTGGCCAACCTGACCCAGCTGATTGGAAGTGCACAGGAGCTACATGCTTACTCTGTGCGCCGCCTCTACCAGGCACTGGTGGAGGACATCTCTCAGGTACCATCCCTACGGGACAAGGTCGAAGGCTGCCTAACAACAACTCCCTGGCCCCTCCTGGGCCTCTTTCCTACACTGAATTCTGAACTCTTCTTCCCTGGGGGGTCTCAGATGTCTACTTATTGCAGGAGATACTTCAGGACAGAGCTGGCCACCAGGCAGGGTAGAGTGTGAGGATCCTAAGTTCAATCCCATCCTGGGCTGTTGAGTGACTTTAGTGACACCTTGTCACAAAATGAAAATGCTGAGGATGCAGCTCAGTGTGAAGGCCCTGGGTAAAAAAGAGCCTGCCTTTTAATTAGAATACCAGGGCTCCTGTCCTGGCTTTGCTAACTGGCTATCTGAACCCACAATTAATTTAACCTCCTTTAGGCCCCATGTGCTCAGTTTTCTATCCTGCCCACCTCCGAGAGCTGCCTAGAAAATCAAATGAGATAGCTGGGGATTTGGCTCACTAGTACAGCTGCCTGCCTCGCACATGCCAAGGTCCTGAGTTCAATCCCTGGTACCAAAAAGTCGTGGGGGGGATAGCTCAGTGGTGCCGCCTGCCTGCCTTGTAAGTGCAAGGTCCCAAGTTCAATCCCCAGTACCACAAAGAAAAAAAAGAAAATCAAACGAGCTAAAAGATTGTGCATGTACTTATTTTATTGCTACCACAAATGCTGATTGAATTAACAGGTACTAGCCAATATCTATAGCCCACCCCGCCATTTTTTTGTAAGTCTCTCACTAAATAGCTTAGACTGGCCTCGAACTCACAGATCTCCTGCCTCGACCTCCTGAGTGCTGTTATTGCAGGCATGCACCACCACACGTGGATATATAGCCTTTTTCCATTTTAAGTAGGGTGGGCAGAAACCACACACCTTCCTAAGAGCCAGGACCCACTGGAGACTCCATCATGTAATTAGGCCATGTAGTTCTCAAGATTGGCCACCAGAGGGCAGCAGGAGCTCAGGAACTGGACAGAGCTTGCCAACCAACTTTCCTTTTGGTGCCCGGCCAATCCCCGATTTGTGCATTACCTAAGGAATGTTTCAGTCTAGAAGAGAGGAGAGGACCACAGACACTCGCCTATCAGTGTTTCTCCCACACAGCAACCACTGGTGCAAGTGGCCGCCTGGTGCATAGGGGAGTATGGGGACTTCCTGCTGGAGAACTGTGAGGAAACTGAACCCCTTCAGGTGAGACCTACATGGTAGGTGCACTGAGGAGGGACTCAGGATGGAAGCAGGACCCAGCGTCACCACCTGCATCCATCCACACCTAAAGGTAGAAGAGGAGGAGGTACTGGCGCTACTGGAAAAGGTGCTACAGTCCCCTATGTCCCTGCCAGCCACCCGTGGATATGCCCTCACAGCCCTCATGAAGCTCAGCACCCGGCTCCCGGGAGACACCAAGTAAGAAGGGTTTCTAGTCCATTCAATGCGTTTCCTACACTGTGCTCCCCAGTTTGAGTTCTCCAGGCACACATACGTCTACTCCTCCCAGCCTTTGAGCCATATATCCCGGGTGTCTCCTTATTCTGTGGGGCCTCCCTGTTCCCTGCACATCCTGGAGTGCAAGGATAGGACAAACTGCCACTGCTATTCACACGCCACCCTGCGGGTCAGCCGCATCCGCCAGGTGGTGTCCATCTACGGGAGCTGTCTGGACGTGGAGTTGCAGCAGCGGGCTGTGGAGTATAATGTGCTCTTCCAGAAGTATGACCACATGAGGTGCGCCCAGCAGTCTGCTGCCATGTAGGACCCAAACCCCTACCCTGTCCCAAATGCCTTCCAGGTCCAAGGGTCTCAACCTACCTGGTATCCTTCCTCTTTCAATTAGAGCCTCCCACCAACAGACATTGAAGCTCAACTGATTCCCAAGCCTCCTTGCTGATCTGAAAGACTGGCAACATTGTGCCATCTTAGGAAATCACAGGGCACTTCTGACCCCCGTGTGCCCAGGGCTCACCTTGTTCCTAGCCCTCCTGTCAGATGCATCTTGTGAGAGGTGCAGAGCCCACACAAAAGAACAGGTACATTCCGTCGTTTCAGGGCCGCCATCCTTGAAAAGATGCCTCTTGTGGAGCATGGTGGCTCTCGGGCTGATGAAGAAGCCAAAGAAAGCAGAGAAGACACAGCCCCTGTCCCCACAGAGCCCCAGGTGAGGAGGCTGGAGGCCCTAGAGCAATGGTGGCAAAACTATAGCACGCATGTTTGTTTTTTCTTTTAAGACAAAAGATGATGACATACGAGTTGTTTTTCCTAAACTAAAACCTCAGTGGCCAGGGATTTAGCTCTGCTGCCTGCCTTGCAAGTGCAAGGACCAGAGTTCAATCCCCAGTACCTAAAAAACCCCTCAGTATTCAGGTTTAATTGCAGTACTTCACAATAAATAACTGGGCTTTGGGTTGCGGTTTGGGCATTTGTCTCTAAAAGGTTCACCATTACTACCCTAGAGCAAGGACTTGGTTGGGCTTCCATGCCCAGCCCAGATCCTTTGTCCTTCCTCCCAGACATCAAAGCTCTTGGATCTGCTAGATCTCCTGCACGAAGCTCCTGGGGACACCCAGCAGCCACCCTCTCTGACTCCCTCCCCAGAGGGTGCCCTAGTACGCTTCCTTGATCTTCCCTGTGCACCTCCACCCCCAGGTAAACCTCAGCAAAGGGGAGAGAGAGGTCTTACGAGATGGGTAGAAATGTGCTTTCTCCTTTGGAACCACAGACTGCAGCTCATGTATCCCCCTCCTGTGTGCCCCCCAATCCAGATCACCCTATCTTATAGGTTAAAGGGTTCATTTGATCATGCCAATCCCCTTTGGCCACTCTTCAGTGTCTTCCTTTGTTCAGACTTCTTCCCCGTGCCACAGGGCCCTGCTACCTCCCCAACCCGTTTCATACTACTTTCCCCGTGCCCACTTCCTCAGTTCCTCAAACCCTCCCACCTCAAGCTCTTGGCATTTCTTGTTTTGTCTCTGTTAAATGTCAGTTGCCCTCCCCTGCTGTTCCTATTTAAGCTAGTTCTTCCTAGTTATCTCACTCATAGTACCCATTACCACCCTGATTGTCTTGTTTCGGTTTTGCTTATACTCCACGCCCCCGACTAGGCTGTCAGCTCCAACTTTTTTTTTTTTCAATTGCTATTTCATTGCTGAGGATTGAACTTAGGGCCTCATGAATGCTAAGGAAATCCTCCTGCACTGAACTATATCCCAGGTCTTTTTAAAATTTTATTTTTATTCTGAAAATTTGAGACAGGGTCTTAAATTGCCCAAGCTGGCCTTGAACTTGTGATCCGCCCACCTCAATTTCTCTGCTTTCTGCTTGGTCACAAGTGTCTCAGGCAGTGCAGGGTGAAGAGGTGCTCACTGTGCTACTGTTGAAAGTGAGTGAACATGTTATGCCCAGCTTGCACACTGAGTGCCTCTCTCCCTACTCCAGCTCCGATCCCCAATCTCAAAGTGTTTGAACGTGAGGGAGTACAGCTGCATCTGTCTTTTACTCGACCCCCTGGAACCCCTGCTTTGCTCTTAATCACTGTCACCACCACCAACTCCTCAGAGGATGAAGTCACTCACTTCATCTGCCAGGCAGCTGTGCCCAAGGTTTGTACAGCTCAGGGTACAGAGACAGCCTAAGCATCCAGGAGAAAGGCCATGAAGCTGAAGAGGTGGGTGGGAGACAAAAGGAGATGGAAGGGAACAGCATACAGGACAGGCATCTAGGAAGTGTGGGAAGAGGGTTTGGAGCCCCTCTGTGCGAAGAGGTTGCCTGAGCCGAGTCAGCCGCCTGTGTTCTGCACAAACCTCCCATGTTCAGAGCATCCAGCTGCAGGTCGAGGCCCCCAGTGGAAACACAGTTCCAGCTCGGGGTGGCCCACCCATCACTCAGCTCTTCAGAATCTTCAATCCTAACAAGGTAAGTTCCAGTACTTGTGGATAAGACCCAGGCATGGGAGACACCATGGGCACTAACCCCCATCTCTGCTCCTATTCCTAGGCCCCTTTGCGGCTAAAGCTGCGCCTCTCCTATAACCACTCTGGCCAGTCGGTGCAGGAGACCTTTGAGGTGAACAACTTGCCTGTGAAGACATGGCAGTAACTATCTCCGCTTACCCAAATCCTCCCATGTCCCAAAGTGCCTGGCCCCAGTAGCTGGGATCCTTCTTCTGAGGGCCACCACCAGGTGGCACTCTGGCTCTGTCTGTCACTACAAAACGTTGAGGGCCGTACCCTCCCCCACAAATATTGAAAGCCCAATAAAGCCCAAGAGAGGTGGAAAACCATATTTGGGTATGTCTGAGATAGAAAATATGTATGAACGACAAGGGAAGAACCTCCTCACACATGAATCTTTCCTGGAACCTTGGGAACCTCTCTCAACAATGAGGATTCTCTACCTCTTTTTAGGTCTGGAAGCACACTTGTCCCTTACCTGCCACAAGAGGCACTCTACTCTCTGGGCCAGTGCTGGGCACAGTGACAAAAATCAAAGCAGAATTTCTGGATTTCTAATAGGAGTTCCCAACCCTTTCCCTACCCTGCTGCTATTCCCCACACCCCTAGGCAGGGAAATCCCTGCTGCCTCCCCTCATCTCTAACTCAGCTGTAAGGCAGTTTCAGAGCCGCTGGCAGAATCAATGGCATCGACCAAGGGAGGGGGGGTGGCAAGGGATTTTCCTGTGCTTAACTACTGATCATGGCTAAGTGGAAATCCTATAAACACGAGCGGAAATCAATGGAGGCTGCTTAGCGGCCAGGGGAGAGGGGCGGCCCATAGATTGCATCTGACGGATGAGGAAGAGGCAACCAGGGAGGGCTCTAGGAAGGGTAGCTGAGAACAGGGTGAAACAGGCAGAGCTAGAGAGAGGAGGCACTGTTAGAAGGAAAGAGGCACCACGAGCCTAGGTGTAGACCCCATCAAACCCAGAGTTCTCTTGCCCTTCTGGGAAGATATCCCCTAGCCCAAGTCACTGCCAGAATGTTTAGTCCCCTGTGGCCTCTCTCTGGAGCTCTGCTTGCAGTAGGCGCTGATAGTCCTGCGGCCTGAAGCGCTGTAGGTACACGATGAGCTTGGCAGGTGCCCTCTCCTGTGCTGGCACACCTATAGACAAAAGGACAATGAGCAAAGAAGTCGGCAAAGCTACCATACACATTTTAACTTTGCTTCCTGCCCACCCAGCAGGACCCCAAAACTGTTTGCAAGGCAGCACTAATATCCTGAATGCCTTCAACCAGCTTCTCATCCTCCCTCACTGGACTAAGAAAATGAGACCTAAAAGAACCACTTCAGGCAGGAGTGGCTGGGAAGCCACACATGAGCCTATCCTCCAGGAAGGAGAAATAAAGAGAAGCAGCACTCAGGCACCATGGAGATGGGGATCCCTCAACATTGACTCATTTGTTAATACCCCGTCCCCCAATCAAGATTAAAGCCCATCTAGGCAGGCCAAAGCTCATTAGCTTGGTAATGAAGCACACGCAAAGAAGTACACAGAGAGAGAAAAACCAAGGACTATGGGAAGAAGAAAGAAGCTATAGTGGTAGGGCAGGATTCACACAGAATTACTGTCGTGGCCAATGTCTACTGTCAGGGCCTCGCAGCACGCTGAACATGAGTGTGACTGCTGAGGAAACTCAGCATCCCAGGGGTGTCAGCTCTGTGGACGAGCTATCCGTAAGGGAGTTAAAAATGGGAAGAAAAAAATCTGCCCACACTTATCCTACTGTCTCATATAGATGCAACATTCTCATTGCCTTTTACTTAAAGGCAAAGGATAAATGAGAATAGAGGAAGTAGTACAAACAAAAGGATAGAAGAAGTTTGTGGGAGGGAAGGGTCAAAGCAGAGAACTGACAGTGAAATTGCAGACTTGGCTAGAGGTATGCCTACTTTCCCAATGACTGGAAAAATTAGAAATGCACTGAAAGAGTGAATCCAAATTAGCTGCTGTAAATGGGGAAACTGGATTTCATAGAACTACATAAGCAAGCTGGGCACGGTGCTGCACACCTATCATCCCAGCATTCGGGAGGCTGAGGCAGGAGGATCACCAGAAGTTAAGGCCAGCCTAGGCTACATAATGAATTCAAGGCCAGCCTGAACTACACAGGGAGACCCCGTCTGAAAACACAAAACAAATAAAATAACCAAATGTATAGGCAAATGGGGTCTTCCCAAAAAAAAAACTGCTAAACAATTCTTGTTACAGAAATAACCCTGAGAAGCTCAGTCACTCTTTGCCCCAGCGGGTACTTCCAGAAAAGGCAGATGGGGAGCAGGGAAAGCACAGAAGGCCTGTCTCCCTTACCAAGCATGTTGCTGAGGCTCTGGATCTTTTCTAGAGCAGAAGGTACTTCAGCTTCCTCACGTACTACGGCCTCTACTTCACCCACAGCATAGCCAAAGTCAGCTGTATCCAGGTCCACCCTGAGCAGTGGCTCGTCTTCATCAGATCCAGAGAACACCAGCTTCCAGGCACTCCGCTTAGTCACAAAGCTAGCTACTTCCTGCAGCCCCAGGGAACCCACCACAGCATCTATACCTCCATGTCCCAGTCCCTCAGCTCCCAGCACCTCACAGAGGCAGGCCACAATCGCAGGATCAGATGTGAGTTCCAAGTACTTAGTATGGGTTCCTGAGACACCCACTGCTCCAGGACATTTTAACTCCCACCCACTACCCTCTCGTTGTCGCAGCCAGTGGTCAGACCGCATAAGGTTCAGCTCAGGGGTGTCATAGTAGGTGTCTCGGAAGGTGATCTGGTGCTCCAGAGTGCCTCCCAACTCCTGCAGCCGTTCCTCCATGCCAGGCCCTGGAACAAACTTTCGCTCCACCTCTAGCAAGCCCTGGGCCATGCTACCTGCAACAAACATTTGCAACAGACATTCGCAGAGTGCCAAAGGGTACACAGCCGGCGGAGCACAGCTCAGCTGAGACCCAGCCCTGGATGAACTCGCGATGAACTTTTATTGCAGAGCTCTCTACCTCAGTGATAGAGGCCATCAGTGATAAAACTTTAAGCAAACTGGATCCTCTAGAAAACTGCTAAAAAACAATCCGTTACAGTTAAATCCTCTACACTATTCGTGATATTCTCAACCCACAGTGCTCCCTAGAAAGCAGGCCTTGTGACAAACGTCTTTCCAAAGCCCCCTCGCTACACCTTGCTACCCCAGAAGGCCAGTAGCTCACTTTCCCGAGTGCCCACCACAGCACCAGCCCTTGGAGACCCAGGTCTCACCTCAAAGCCCGAGGGTCTTCCTCTCGAGGGACCCAGAGATGGGGGAAGGGTGCCCACGCCACACTCGCGAGGAATGCCGGGAGCAGGCCCTGGCCCCGGACCTCAGTCCGGCTCTGTGCTTTCGGCCGGTCCCAGTGCCAGCGGCCATATTAGGCCCGTGGTAGTGCCGAGGGCTGGCTGGGGACAGAGAGGCCTGTTAGGTTATGGAAGACAGCGACTTCTGTAGTGGGCAGAAAAGTAAGACTGTACCCTCGCGCTCTGCTTCTCATCCCCTATCCCTCCTGGAGCTCAGGGTCAGCTGGGTCCCGGGGTGCAGGCTGAGCCCGGCACCCTGGAGTCCGATGCATGATGGGAGATGTAGTTCCAAAGGAGCCTAGCTGGCGCACCCCACCCGTCGCTATGGTGACAGGAAAGCTGCAATTAGTGCCAGCGGGACTCTACCTAAAGCTGATCTGGGATTGCAGCGTGGTTGGGTGAGCTGGGTGAAGGAGCTGAGGCCCCAGTCTCCAGCCTCTGCCAGCGAAGGAAGTGGGCTTAAAAAACAAGTCACTCACTTTGAGACCGTGCCCAGTAGATATCTATTATGGTGGCCCACTAAGTGCGAGATGGGGGGGTGGGCATGGGGATTTAGTCCACTTTAGCTACTCTGGAATTTTAGAGCAGATCTGATAATCCTAGTATGGATAGAAGTGGTTTGTTGTTGTTGTTGTTGTTGTTGTTGTCAGGTCCTTGAGCTTGTGAGGCAGGCACCAGAACCACTGAGCTAAATCCCCCGCCCCCTAGTATGAATATTGTGGTGCAAAAGACTTTGTCAGAGGAGGAAATGATATTTTGAATGGGAACCAAGGCGTAGTAGGATTTCAACAGATGCAGACAGGAACAGTGTAGGTAATGGCCCAGCAACTGTAGAACACCTGGCCAGTATGTTAAGTACAGATGAGTTTAGAAATCAGTTAGGGGCCAGGATGGAAAAGTCTTGAGGGTCGAGGATTTAGCTAAGTGGTGCTGCACCTGCCTTGCTAGTGTAAGGTCCTGAGTTCAATCCACAGGACAAAAAAAAAAAAAAAAAAAAAAAAAAAAAAACAAAAAAAAAAAAAAAAAAAAAAAAAAAAAAAAAGTCTTGAATGAGTGTCACCCTGAGAAGTTTGTCAGTGTCCAGTACTCCCTGAGTAGATTTTTTCAGGAATGACCCTCTGACTGCTTTCAGAGACCAAACAGAGAAAACTTCTTGTTGCCTCTGAGAACTATGATTATCTGTAAACTTTAACTTTGATCTTCTAGGTGACAATAATGTCAACTCCTAAGATTGCTTCTATGATGAGTGAGAAGTGCCAGGTTCTCCACATCTGACTCCTCCTCAGTATGTTTCTGGAAGCACTTGACCAGTAGAAAATACTGTGGGGAGATTACTTTATAGACATGACATCTTGAACTTAAGAAGTCTTGTATGTATCTGTCACCCACCTCATGCCAAGCACCACCTGGCAGTCAGTCCCTAACTTTTCTCAAGGCCTGCATTCCATCCATCCTTTGATTTTCGGTTTTGTTGACCAAGAAGAATGCCTAATGTTTTCCCTTTATATAAGGTCCGATCCAGTGGGGGCAGAAACAACAGCTTACTGAGATAGGAAGACTATACTCCAGAGACAGGCATACTTGGAAAGTCTCACTTCCCAGCTGTTTAGCCTGGGCTAGACTGTTTTGTCCTTGGTAAAATGAGGGCTGCCTCAGTTATGAGTGAGGATTCAGTAACAAATTGTCACATAGTAGAAACTCAAAATGTGCATTTTTTTTCTGTCTCCTGGCTTCCCCTGTGAACTTGGAGGAGAGGCCATTAGAGAAGTAGGCCTTCAGATGTACTATGGACTCTGGAGCTAGACCACTGAGGTGAGGTTTGAATACTGGCCCTGTTAGTTATTGGCCAGGCAACCTTGGGCTGATTGTTTGTGCCTTAGTTTCCTCAACTGTTAAGTATCTGCTTCATGAGAATCACATAATATATGTAAAAGTGCTTCGTAGTATCCCTAAACACTCAATAAATCTTAGAAATTATTATTGAAATATACAGAGTTTCTGAGCTGATAAACAGAAGAGCAGGAACCAGAACTTCCTCTCCCCCTATGGAAGTAGGAGACTCTGTGACCACGTGGAGAAGACAGAAGCTCTCCGAGACTGCTGTGCAAGAGAAGGTTCTAGTATCCAATCAGAAAGGAGGTGGAATAAATAAGGCAAGAAGGGAATGAAAAAGAGAAAGACCTCAGGCAGCTCTGGCAAACTGGTAGAAGCCAGAGCTTGTACAGCTGATCTTAAACCAAACAACAAAACATACGTATTGTTTCTGTAGACAGGACGAAGAGGAACAGGAAGAGTTTGAAGGGACCTGCCTTCTTCGCAGGCACCAGGTGGGCCTGCACCAGAGTCAGAGGCAGCAGGTGGCTTAGCATCTCAAGCCCTGGTCGCTGCCCGCCTAGGGTTCCAGCGTTAAGGAAGGTTTGCGGGCCAAGGGCGGAGGCGGGAAGACTACAACTCCCGGCATGCGCCGCGAGGGGCGGGCCGCTGCACCTGCTCAGTGGGGCCGCCCTGGGCGCCTGGGTATTGATTATTCCATTGTGTGGGACGCCTCGGCAGAATCAATGGAAACCCCCTCACGAAGCCGGGAAAACACTTCAGCCGCAGCCAAATAGCATTGATTATTTTCCTTCACTTCCCTCTCCGCCGTGAATTTATTTATTTATTTTTTCCATCTCCGTCTCCGACGCCCCGGAGGGAGGGAGGAGGGGGGGGGAAGGAATCAACACATCGGAGAAGTCCCTTCCAAGAGCCGCCCCCTCCCCTCCCCGCCTCGCGCTGCTCGGCGGCCGCGGTTCGACTCCCGTCCCTGCTTCCAGCTGAGGTGTAAGTGCATCGATTTCCGATGCTGCTGGGGTTTTTTTCC